ATCCCCAAAGCTCCTCCAATGCTCCTCTTAGCTCAATAGGTACCTAAAAACATCCATAATGGATAGAAAATGCAAACTATATCCTAAATGCAACCTAAGTCTAAAAAGAGAAGAAAATAGGACAAAAGATTATGAAAATATGCAAAAGAGAACCAAAACATGCACCAAATGCAAGCCTAAACGGTGTAAATACATGAGATAACATTAATAAAATTCAACACCACGCCTTATCATTCTATTTTATATTTTTTAATTTCTTTTTAAGTTTCTATTTTTATGATTATATATTAATAACAATTGTCGAATAAAATAAAATTAAAATAATTAATAGTTAAAAAAAAATAAACTACAAAAAATAGAGAAAGTTATTATTAAAACAAATATAAATAAAAAAACTTAAAATGCAATACGACACAACTAATAAAATACACATAACTTAATAAGCACACGATACAACTAATAAAACATACATAACTTAATTAGTACAACAGACTCAACACACAAACTTAATAATCTCATTAACCACGGAACATTCTGAATTTTGCCCATATGTGTTTGACCAGATTGGCTTGTGATTCTGTGATGTACATTTGAATCACGCAATTCGAATCTAGCATGCACATGATTTGCAAAAGCAGGTAGCATCTCAGTCGAGAATGGTTGCGGTGTACTAGACCCACTTGCCTCAGATTGATCATACTTATTCCAATGTTGAACATATGTATCTCATTCATCCTCAGCAATCATATTATGCAATATGATACATGACCTCATGATGATAGCCAAGTCTTCTATATCCCACATGCGAGCTGATTCACGGATGATTTTAAATCGAGCTTGTAACACTCCCACTGCATGCTCAATGTCCTTCCGACATCCCTCCTAATGTTTTGCAAATAACTTGTCTGGTTCACTTTGAGGAAGTCTAATCGATTTGGCGAAAGTCAGATAAGAATGATAGATACCATCAGCTAGATAGTATTCCATATTATACGGATGTTGGATCAAAAGAAAGTTCACTCTTGGATCATTTCCCTGTTCAACATCATCAAACACTTGTGAACGGTCTAACACGTTGATATCGTTCAATGTGCCCGGACATCCAATAAAAGTGTGGCAGATCCATAAATCATGAGATGCAACCACTTCAAGAATAAAAGTTATGGTTCCCTTATCTCCCCAGTAAATTGACCTTCCCATGCTGTAGGACATTTTTTCTATTCCCAGTGCATGCAATCAATACTCCTGATCATCCCCGGGAACCCCCGCTTTTCATTAACACGCAATATCATCACCAGGTCATCTTGAGTTGGAGCTCTGAGATACACTTTTTCATACAATTGTATGATACCTTTACAAAATATACGCAAGCACTCCAATGCTGTAGTACATCCTATTTTGATGTATTCATCGACCGCGTCGGCCGCAACACCATAAGCTAACATTCGCATGGCTGTGGTATATTTTGTTAATGGAGATATGCATTTTTTTGGCTGCGTCAACTCTTTAGGTGAAGTAGTTGTCACTTCTTGATAGATCCCCAACGATACGAAGGAAAACATGTTTTCGCATCCAGAATCACCAACGAAACAGTGCACCGTCATATGTAGGTTGACTGGAAAAGTAGTCATCAATCAGTCTTTTGTTTGCCGCCACATGATCTCTCTTGAAGTATTTTTTCTTACTATGATGCGCATAATCTTCCTCTATCTTGTTTTGACGCTCCCTAAATCGGTTGACGATATACTTCTCTTTAATTTCAGACTGTATTTTGTAAGCTTCGATATCAAAAGGAAATTCTGAAGGATCCATTGATATATTTTTAGTAATATGAGATTTGTGGTATTGGTACATCAATGGAAGAATGAGTCCCTATTAATAAAAAAAATTGAGTGGTTAAAATTAACGGACTCCAAACAAATATTACATTAGATAAGAATTGAATTCTCCCATTAAAAGCCAAAAATCACATATATTGACAAAAAAAAAATCATAGATTACTAACAAATAAATATTATTAAAGGACAAAGTGACAAACAAACATTATTAAAACAGAAAGTGACAAATATAGATTATTAAAGAAGAAAGTGACAAACAATCATTATTACCATTGAAAGTGACAAATAGAGACGCACTAGACAAAAATTAATTTCCAAATATATCGTGGCTCACCTTCTCTAACAACTCTTTGCTCCTGTATCGAGTTGCTCCTTTTTACTTAGCTTGAGAAACATCTTCATCTTCTTAGCCTGGGTCTTATCCTTAGTCAATTGGTTGGCCTCCTCTTTCATCTTGGCTATTTTGTCCCATCGTTCTAACTCTTGCTCCTTGAATTGTTTGAATTCATTCCACTCTTCGTTGACCACTTCCAAGGCTGCACCTTTACCTTTCTTTTTAGCATTTTTCTTAGCTGCACCCCTCCCATTGGACAAGCACTAGTATCTACTGAGCTAGAGTCACTAGCATCACTCTCGTGGACTCTCTTAGATCCACTACTTCCAAAGCCAGTATTTCCTCCTACTTGACTACCATATCATGGTTGATCACGGACAGAGAGCTATTCTTTCATTAAATTAAATTTTTATTATATCTACTTGAATAGTTCATGCGTTTTTGCCAATACATCATTCTCTAACCACCCACTTTGATGCATACGCTTAGCGTTATCGTAAGCGCCAATCCAATTGCCCAATATTTTGTTGACGTAGTTGTAATGATTTATACACAAGCCTCCATCACGCGGATGATCAAATGAGCAATGCTTATTACAGTAGTCGGCAATTTTACCCCAATATGATTCACCTTTTTGGTTTCTGCCAGCAATGTTGTCGGTTCCATACTTAATCCACCCACTCAATAGCACCAAATTTTGCTCTTTGGTCCATTTGGTGCTTTTCTGGCAAGTATGAGTTGATTCTTTTGCATTTGAAGTAGCTTCATGAAAATCGCTCATACAACCAAGAGGCATTTGTGTAGAAAATTCAGGAAACTCAATTATTCTAACATTCTGAACAATTTCATTATCTGTTGGACTAGATGAGTAAAGGGGTGTTTGAGATGGATATGGCATCATCGATCCATAATGTAGATGATAGTTTGGAACAGCTGATGGCATGAAAAAAAATTGGTGAAATGCCATAGTTTTGTACATTTTGTTGTCGGTTGGAAGCTTGATTTTGAAGCTGATAATTGTTAGGATTTTAGTAGATAAAAGGGTAATTAGAAGAATTTTGGAAGTTCAAAGGGTTATTGTTGGGATTTATTTCACTAAAATGACAGGTACAAAAATAAACAAGAGTTTATTGAAGGCTAATAGGAAACTATAGTACAAAAAGATGGTTTTTCTGTGTGTGTCCAAATTAAGTAAAACAAGACTTTATTTATAGAACATGAAATGATGGATTTTGGTATTAAAAAAAATATATATAATTTTCTATAACATAATTGATCTCAAATAATTTGGTTGTAAAAAAAATATCTAGAATCTCAACATCCAATAAAAACAGAACACATGTCTCTATCTTTATATTATTATATAGTAAAAATTTCTGGCCACTTAATATCTGTCACATGGCAAGGGAAGGTCCTACTCATTTGTGATTCACTGTTTTTTCCACATCAGCTCTAATTTTTTATTCAACAGCTCAATGGAGTGATTCAACAGTTGAATAAATAATTTAACAGTTGAAAAACACACCATTGTAAGTAGTCTATGGGAGTTTGTGGAAGAAGATCATGCATTTAAGATTTTAGATATTAAAAAAATTCCAAAACATGCTACTGATAAGATAAGATGGCACTATACTAACAATGGGATATATTCTATTAAGTCAGCATATTGATTGGCTTGCCATCCACATTATCAACTAATGAGAACGGCTCCTCCCTGTGATGCAAATCTCAAAGGCAAGGTATGGAAACTCCAAACACCCCCTAAGGTGAAACACTATCTTTTGCGTATTTGTCGAAATCCCTTGCTACTGATGACGCTTTACAACATCGTCATGTTTATACAAACTCATTATGCCGGAGATGCTATAAATCTACAGAGACAACACAACACCTTTTCTTTGATTGCACTTATGTGCAATCGATGTGGTGAGGTTAAGGGATACAAAACATCATACTTACTGACTCAAATGTTCGATTAGAAGATAAGTTGCGCTTTATCTTTAATTGTAACTTCAAGGAATCACTTTCTTGTTTACAGCAATTACCATTGACGATCTCAGAAACATTTTCGTTTTCCAGCGATGATATATTCATTGGACTCGTAATCTATCATACGCAAGGGCTGAAGTTTCAGAATGAGATTTAACGTGTTCTTCTTTTCATTCTACCACCAAAAATAAACTATATGGAACGCATATCCAGCGTTCCCAACATATAATATGGTCAAAACCACTATCAAAGAGATGAAAGTGTAACTTTGATGGATCATTATTGGCTAATACCGGAATCGAAAGCAGGATGGATAATAAAACACAGGGAAAAAAATTTAAAAATTCAGATTATGTCAAAAACAAACACATCAGGAATGCTTTGGAAAGCGAATGTCAATCACTTATCTTGCTTATGCAAGGATGTTGGTGTAAGGGTTACAAAAGGATGACTTTTGAAGGAGACTGTAAAGAGCTTATTGATATTATGCAAAGAAAAAAAATCAAATTTGATGTTCACAACTGGATTCGTGAGGTTAGATTTTGGTAAAGAAAGTTCGAAGATCTACAATATTCATGAATAAGAAAAGAATCAAATTAGTCTGCACATATTTTAGCTTCAATATGATCTGGATCTAATTAGTTGTATATTTTCAATTCTTCTGTTCCACAATTAATTCATGCTATACACAATGATAATTGTAATACAATGTCATATTAATCCAAGGCTAGATGTTTAGAAAAAAAAAAAATACTATGACAAATGGTGGGCCTACTGGCTTTAGTGAAGCCCAAATCAAAATTCCTAAATGATGACAATAATAATAATAAACAAAAGAGTCTAAATCCTAACGGAAAAGAATTAGAGTTTCGCTTAATCTCTACTCAATGCGTTGAAGATCTGCAGCGAGAAGCGAAACCCTCACAAGAAATTTCCCAAATTCACTTCTTGGTTTCTGGGTCCGATCGATCTCCTGCCAAGTGATGATCCGTTTCCTATAAACTCATACGGGATTCGTTTTTCCCCCATAAAACAATGAAACTCTGGTCATGTTCGAAAATCCAGCAACAATCTCCTCGAACAGTCCTCATCTTCGGAAATCCGGTAGCAAATCTGTTTTCGTTGATCCTGGTAAATCTAAATTCCATCTCAGTTCTAATACAAATGCATGCTCGTGTAGATACTCAAAGACATTTTTGATCCGTGGATCGTGAGATTCTGAACGAGAACAAAGCGAGAGATGTTCTAGATGCTAATCTGATCTGGTTTAATGAGATCTGATTTCTGTAATTGGGTTTTTTCTTAGGTGTAAACGGGAATTTAGGTGTATCAGAAATGGGTGAGCTCAAGGGTACAAGTTCACCACTTCATATTACAACAATGGTGCCTTCTCCAATATTCCTGTGGAGATTTAAGGTTTTGATTTTTAATTGTTATTGTTTTAAGAGCATTTACCTCTGTAGTGGTAGCATTTGATCAAGCTTTTTTGTCCAATGAACAAAACTTTTCAGGTTGTTTTGTTTCTTTTCTGGGCTTTATGTTGCTGCAAGGTAAGTGATTTTTCTTAAGTTTATTGCTGTTTAAATGTGGATTTTTGACGAAATTTAGCGTTTAGACGACATTGATTTGATCTTTTTTTTTTATCAGATTGGGTGGGATTCAGTCATGAGAATGAGTATCGACCTGCGAGATTTATTTTTGTACGAAGCATTTCTTTATTACAATCCTCTTCTTCTTGTGGTGAGTTCAGATTCTACTCTCTTTTTGGCTGTTGGAGACTTCTTTCTCTTCTGATTAGATCATCTCGTTTTCTTGCCTTTGAATACTTTAGACTATGATGGTTTGGCTTTGGGGAGTGAACTTATGGGTGTTCTCTCAAGGAAGTGTCAATTATGCCAAAGTCTTTGATCTCGACCATAATCACCTTACTCATAGAGAGATGTGGAAGGTATTTATGTTATTTATTTTACTTTTTGGGTTTCTTCGATACAAACATAGCCACCATAACAGTAGGACACGCTTCTCTATTTCTGTTGTGTTCACAGTTAGTGTCTGGATCTTGTTTTTTATTTTTATCTTTTGTGTAAATTCTGGCTGCAGTGTAGCATGTGGATGACAATCATTGTCCCAACTAGCATGACAGCATATCTTTATCTGTATTCTCATGGTGAAGTATCTTTGGCTGCTTCACAACCGGTTAGCGTCTGCTCTCCAGCATGTTCTTATAATCTTTGGTGCAAATGTTATGTTTCCTCTTTGTATGCCAGATAAAGCTTTTAAGGTATGTCTAAGGTTTTATGATTTTTACTGCTGCAGGTGCTCCTGTACATTGCTTTTGCTTTGGTTCTGATATTTCCCTTCGATATTTTCTACTTATCAAGTCGATATTTTCTGCTGAGAACATTATGGAGGATAGCTTTTCCACTGCAGGTAAAGTGATAAGTCACTAGACAACTATTGATTGAAATTAAACTTGCAATTGCCAAATATCTAGGTTTTGTGTAATAGCTGGCAATATAATGTTTGATTAGTCCCGTGTGGGTTTTGTTCAAACTCTTACATTTTTTTTTTTCCTTTTACAGCCAATTACATTTCCAGACTTCTTTTTGGCAGATATACTTACGTCTATGGTCAAGGTATGAAATTCAAATACCTCTGGGAGAGAGCTTCCTAGCTTCTAATAATAATTTGTCATGTTAGTAATTAGGATATTGTTCTGTAACTAATGGAATTGGTTCCACATTTCTCTTCTGCATTTTATTTTAAGTCGATAATTATTATGCTGCTATTACTTGATTACCATTCATGATCGACATTGGTATCTGTATGCAGGTATTTTCTGACTTAGAACGGTCCGTCTGCCGGATGGTGCATAGACAGGTAATTGGTTAACTCGGTCAACTCATTACTTGTGACATCTTATATAGATTAGAAATCTTGAGGAACTAGTTCCATTCTTTCCTATGACCTTGAACAAATATATCGATCTGTATAACGAATACTTTATCCTTGAAGACTGACAAACGTTGGGGATCTAATGTATTTATTAATAAGCCAAATAAAATCCTGATTTTCTGTGTAACCTGCACGAGTTTCATACGGTGTTGTCTGTTGTGAAATGATGGGATATACCAGGTTAAAGACGTTTGCTTGACTTTCAGGTCGCAACAATTGCTTGGTTTGAAGCTGACGCGGTCTGTGGCAGTCATCAAATCGCAATCCCTTTGGTTCTTGTTTTCCCCTACATTTGCCGTCTTTTGCAATGTCTTCGACAATACAAGGACACAAAGGAAAAATCATCTCTTTTAAATGGTAGAAGCGTAATCTATGAGGATTGATGTTAAATCGTCCCACGTTATTAAGAAACAACAATCTCATTGATGATCTCTCATTTTTTTCCAGCTCTGAAGTATTCGACAGCAGTGCCTGTGATTTTCCTTTCTGCACTTAAATATCATGTGATGCCAGAGAGCTGGACATCATATTACCGACCTCTCTGGCTTTTCTCAAGCGTCATAAACTCACTTTACTCATTCTACTGGGATGTGACTCGAGATTGGGACTTGAGGTAATAGTTTAAAAATGCATCTTCGTACCCAGTAAATCAGTATTTGCAAACTTTCTTCATATCATAATCATTTAATCACATTACTTTTTTTTTTATGTGTTGCAGCGGTTTCACTAAGATATTCAAGTTTAACCGTCCAAGTAACATATCAAATCTATTATATGGCCGTCAATGGGTGAGATTCAGTCTCTAATAATACTGCCTTATGTTTTTCTTGGTATTGCGAATGTTTGAAACTGTCGAATATTACGAGGTTGCAGGTGTATTTCTGGGTGATAGGGAGCAATCTGGTGCTGAGATGCGCGTGGACATACAAATTGTCAGCACATTTAAGGCACAACTACATAACGGTGTTCAGTGTGACGGCCATGGAGATGTTTAGACGGTTTCAATGGGTATTCTTCAGAGTAGAGAATGAGTGGAACAAGATTACCAAATCTCATCCAATGGGTGAGATTTCACTTGAAGAAGACAAACTACTTGGTTCTATTACAACCCATGATGTTTAGTTTTGTTTTACTCTATTCCTATGCCAACAGTTCTGGTTTTCTTATCGGTACAATCAACTCTAGACACTTTCTAGTAATATAATACACCATTTTTCAAGAAGTGAACCAAATTTTGCTGTATGGCAGACACTTAAGATTCCAACCACTAAGCTGAAATTGACCTTTTCGATGTTATCCAAAAAGCTAAACATTTGTTGAACCAATGTAGATGTATTATGTTAAAAAGGTATATATTTGGCTTGGGACGTTAATATTGGTTGGGTGATAGAGTTATTTATGCTTAGAGGTATTTTTTGAGTTATCAATTACAAAAGGAGACATTTTTTTGTAAAACGGCATTTTCTCATCTTTTTTTTTATCTGTTTTCACTTGAATGTCCGAAAATACTCTTCTCGTCGGACACAATTTGATGGACACGGTCTGATGGATACAATGGATACAAATTGTTACTAAGTGATAGTTATAATACGATTTGATAAACACTAAGCGATGACAATGAATGGATATCAACGCGTGGATGCGGTCTGATAGATATAGCTTGATAAATACAAACTGTTACTAAGTGATAATTACAATACGATTTGATGGACACTAAGTGATAGTGACAATGGATGGACACCAACGTGTAGACGCGAATTGATTTTCATCACTTGGATAGAAGGACATAATTGTCAATTCAATAGCAAAAGTGTCTCAATTTCAAAAAGTGTCTCTGAACGTAAATAATTCAATTAACTTGATTAACTAGCTAAAAATCTTATATAATATTTTTTTTTTGACATTCTAAAATTTGACATGTGTTATAATTTTATTTTACATATTTACAATTATTTTTTTAACTAAACTAAATAAAAATAATAAAAACAACTAAAAACATTCAGTAAAAAATAAACAAAAGACTGCAATATAAATATTATAATGGTTCGCCTTTACCATTCCCTCCCTCTCCTCTTCTTGCATGGTTTAATTTATACTATCTCTGACTGTTTTCCATTAGCTCAGCATACTTCGATAAGTAATTTTGCGTCTTAGGAAGTTGATCACCTGTATCCGTAATGTCTGATACCCCCCCCTAACAGGACAGGTTTAATAGGGTCAGGATCCCTGTTGAGTGGGTCTATTTACCAATGTAGAGACTTCATATTGATTTCCAGGAAATCGATCCCAACCTTATTAGTCATGATATGGATAACATAACATAAAGTACATTAATCAAAAGTTTAATAAATTTTATTCAGATATCTATATTATCACGTCGACCACATAACACATAATGCCTCAAAGTCTTTTTTTTAAAATTGAAGATTTCAACCCAAATGTATGAAGAAGAATAAATGCTAGAGAGAACACAAATACAAGCTATACAAAAAGAATATGACAATTGTGCTATTTGTCTTGATATAATCTACAAAAGCCAAAAATATTAACCAAAAAAATATAAACACATTCTTTTATATTCACAAATTTTACCATAAATGAATTTCAAATTGATTATACTATAAAACAACATATCTTTATTATCGAAAAGAAATAATTTAATATTATATATATACTTACGATAATTAAATAACAACTCCTATTCACTATTGATATTATTATTCCACCAATATTTTAAAATAAAAAATTAAAATTACATAATATTCACAAATAATAAATTAATATTTATCAACATATTTTTAAATTTTAAAATTAAAATATTTAAATTATTACAAATTCGTACAACGCGCAGACCTTCTCCTAATAAAATATATTTTCAGGTCTTTGAAATGTGACAGTAGACTTAAGACAAATTTATCACCTGGCTAAACATATCATCATAAGAAAATAAGAATTTTAATAATGACTCGAAAAATATTCGGGATCCAACTAATAAAACGGAAGGAGTTGTTGAAATGCTACTATTTGAAATAAATTTAAGCGTCTCTATTTGATACATTTGAAGGAGGACCGCAAGCTGTTGTCTCCGAAGTATCTTGATGTTCACATCCTCTAATTCTTAGTGGGTCTTTCAAGAGAAAGAAAATATAAGAGTACAAGATCTATTGAATCTAGTGGGTCCTAAACATACTGCTAAAGGTTATTATTGACTGCAATAGAGGGACATAATAATAAGCTAAGACATGTTGAAGATAAACATAATAAGGATGATAAAAACTTCTCAAAGGATGTTAGGGTAAACTCAGTTATGATTATAGATAGATTTCAGCTTCTAAGCAGAAACAGCACCATCTCCAATGCTTTACATAGGAAGAAATATAAACTAGAAAAACATACCTTAGTCTTTGTGGTAGTGGTTTGAGCTTCACTTTTGCTGTTTTGAGCTCACTCCAATCCTCACCCAAGCTAGTTTCACCATTGCTAGCCTCTATTTTGTTCAAATTACTCACTTCTAAGGAGCTTATCCCAAGTGCTAAACCATCTAGTTCTTTGAATGTTGTTTCACCATTTAGTGCTTTGTGTTAATCGAGCAACTTCATGTAACCCAAAACTTTTATCATGTAGGATCATTTTCTCCATGCTCTTTGGTTAAAGCCACTTGTAGATGGTCCTCTAAAGCAAAGTATTTACCCAAGTTGTGATCAATCTTAACTTTTCTTACATCAACTATAGCACCAGCTTTGGCTAAGAAATGTCTTCCCAAGATGAGAGGATACTTTGGTTTTTCATCCATTTCTGATTACAAAATTTGTGGGCACTTCAACATTGCACATCTTTATAGGCAAATCTTCAAACAAACCAATGGGGAGTCTTGTTGATATCTCAGCCAATACTAGAAAGATCCTACACTCCTTGTAGCTTGTGAATACAAAGAGTTTCGCAATAGAGAGGGGCGTCAAGCTTACACTTGCTTCTAGATAACACAAACAATTGTTAATAACAAGAGGTCCCAAAGAACAAGGGAGGGTGAAACTTCCTGGATCCCCAAGATTATTTAGCACCATTTTCCTTTGTATAATTACACTACATTCATGTGTGAGAAACATCATTCCTTGCAACTCCTTGGTTCTCTCCAAAACAGCATTTTTAAGGAACTTTTGATAAAGAGGCACCAACATGAAAGCATTATGTAGAGGCATGGTGATTGAAATATTCTTCATTTTCTCATCAAAGAGCGCTTGGCATATCTCCACTATTTGCTTCTTGAAATTCTCTGGAAATGGGAGGGGTGGCTTGTATGGTGAAGGCGCAAAAATAATTTTTTTTTCTTCTTGTGAGTTTCCTTGACCTTCTCCTCCACAATGGCTTTACCTTTTTTGGTTTTCATCTCATCGTCAATTAGCACTACATCATCTTTACAGTGATCACTTCCCCATCTTGGTTTCCAATGTCGTCATTGAGTTGTGGAGGAATCTCTCTTGGGGGAAATTCTTTACCACTTCTAAGAGTAACGGAATTGGTGTACTATTTGATGCTAGCAACTGATTTTCCAGGTAGTTAGCCTTAAGGTCTTGATGAAGAGGAAAATTATTTGCAATCTTGGAGTGAAGATCATTGTAAGAGCAATCCACTTTGTGGTGGATTTCAGCCATTTTCTTTCTCATTTCCATAGCTCCTTAAGATTAACCTCTAGTTTTTGTAGCATATACTTCATGTCCAAATCTTGAGAATTAGAGTTTTTTCCATGTTGTAGTGCAAAGGATTGCTTTTTCTGAAAATCTCCTTGTTTTCTTTGAAAGTTATTCTTGTGATCATACCCTTGTTGTTGGTTGTATGAGACAAAGGGCTCGGGTTGCCCTCCTTAGCCTTGATTTTCTTGTTGTAGGTAAACTTGATCTTGAGGGTTGGCTAGATTATTGCTTCTATAGAAGAAATTTGTGTGATTCCTATAGTGGTTGAAACCTTTGTTGAACCTCATTGTTTTCCTATATAATTCATCTCCTCTTGCATATCAACCTCTCCATCTTGGTTTGGATCACAATCTCCAAAAAAGTTGACTTAATTTTGTGACACTTGGAGTATCTTGTCCATTTTGTCATTAAGAGCCTTCATCTCCTTTCTTTTACTCTCTTCAGTTTCTTCACCACCTCCAGAGGTCCTATCATAGTCTTCACTATAATTCTCATTACTTTGTGTCAAGTTCTCAACAAGATCAAGAGCTTCTTCTACATCTTTATCCAAGAAATTCAATTGCTTAAAGTATCTAGAAGCATCATGATCTTTGAGAGAACACCTATGTACAATGTGCTTTGAATTGACTCATGAGAAGCCATGATGTGGGCTTTGCATGGTATAACCTTTGAACCTTTCCCAAGCTTCACAAAAGCTTTCACTATTCCTTTGGGTGAAGCTAGAGATCTCATTCCTCAGCCTAGCAGTCTTTATGTTGGAGAATAACTTTGTTATAAATGCCTTCTTGTATTGATCACAATATGTTATTGAACCTTGAGGAAGATTCTTCTCCCAAAGGTGCGTCTTGTCTCTAAGAGAGAATGGAAACAATCTGAGCTTGAATCCATCTTCAGATACACCATTTATCTTGGTCATGCTGTGAATCCTATCAAATTGATTCAAATGATCCAAAAGATCCTCCATCGGTAAACCATGAAACTTGCTTCTTGGGACCATGGAGATAAGACCAGCCTTGATCTCAAAGTTGTTGTTCTCAACATGAGGAGAGATGATACCTTGTCTATTGGCATGTGTGCTTAGTGCATCCCCTGCCCTTAATGTTCTTGTGTTGCCTTGGTTGATGATTAGGAACTCTAGCTTGATCCACAATCCCTTGAGCACCTTGTGGACCAATTCCACCATGCTCTTGTGGGTTATCCATAACCAATCTTTCAATATTATATGTCCTTTCTCATTCTATCCTTACTTTTAGAACTATGTTCAAGAGATGAATGTTGTCAATAGGGTCTACAAGATTTGCACCTCCTCTTGACCTCAAGTTCATGCACCTTGCAATGGAAAATTAAACAAAGTGAAAGGATTAGTAACCAAAGAAAAAACAGATGCTTAATCTCAAGAAATTTCAAAATACTAATGCACAAACAAGTCCCCAATTGGTAACAGCACCAAATTGATAGTAGGTTTCTTGTATCAATCACTAAATCCCACTCATGTAATTGTAGGCACTTGAGGTTATCAATCCAAATGGGGTTGTGCACACCAAGAAAGCATAAAAGTTCTTAATCTAAGTAAGAATAATAGAGTTTGTTTCTAACAACA